GGCAGACCAAAAGGCAAAGGACCATTATTTTCACAGTGAAACCATATTATAAAAAAAATCCAGTATTTTATTTCATTAAAAAAAAAACTTGAAGAAACAGAAATCATTTTACACGTGTCAGCTCTTTAAAAGTCTGTATCTATCTTAAGATACACCAAAAGCACCTGAGGGCTATGAGCACGTTTTGCCCAAAGTTCTAAGGAAAGTTCTGAAACTTAGTGGTGTTGGGTTTGTACTTAGCAAGCCCCAAATGGTCTGAGTTGCTCATCCCAAGAACAGAGCTTGAAAGTGCCCTTACCATTGAGATGTAAAACTGGAGCGAAGAGAAGATGCTTTCAGAAGCCGGAGAACCCTTGCTGGGCAGGTTTCCTGAGGAAGGTGGGGAGCTCTGTGCTCATCAGTCATTCAAGCTTCTTAGCAGATGTGCCCACAGCTGTCTTTGGGGTTTAAGGATTATTAGCCCCAGGAAGCTAAAGTTAAAGCCCAACCAGCCAGCCACCCTTCAGACCGTTCTCACACGAAGTCACTGAAAACAGCAAGTGTCATTCTGCGGCAGCCTCAGCGAAGTCTTTGGGCGGCTCTTCCAGAGGTGAACATACTGGAAACGAAACCATTTTCAGCTGAAATGAAAAAGGAAGGCTCCAAGAGTCAGCTTCACATCCTGTCAGTGCTGCTCCCAGAGAAGTCCGTATGCAGCGGTGTGATGTTCTGGTCATAAGCCGCATACTCGGAGGTGCCAGTACTGGCCAGCTTGAGCTGCTGGGCAGCGTGGGTCAGCTGGAACGCGGCGTCGGGGTGGGCTGTGTCGGGCAGCAGCGTGCACTCCCTCTCCAGCATGTCAGCCACCCCTTTCAGGAGGTCCAGGAAACCAAAGGCCAGGGCAGCCTTTCGCAGACGGTTTAGCTCCTGAAACAAGACAAAAAACCCCAATGTTGTGAAATGTGTTCTCCTCATCACATACTTCTAAGTGCTCAGCTTAGAATAAGTCATCCTTGACCCTGAACTTCAGGGAGCGTTTTTGTATGAGAACAGATGTTCACACAGAGATGCCAATAATGAGAGTGTGATGGCATAACGGGGGCGTGGTTCTTCTCCAGGCGACCGGATCTAGCTAAGGAGGACAGTGAGCTGCCTGCAGCACAGGCTGTCATCATCACAGCTAAGGAGCATTTATGCCACACGTGGTCTAAGCCCTTTGCATGCATCATTTCATTTACTCGTAACTATATGAGCATTACTTTTCCTGGTACTCAGGTATGGAAAACACTTGCCCCAAATCTTGCTCTTAACTCTCTGGTGTCTCTGTGGCAGGGCCTCAGACTGAACGACAACAAACATGTTCGGGTGAGGCCCTGGAGGAGTCAGACTGGAAAGGCTGCCACAAAAACAATGGCTGGGCCGTGGGTGGAAGCACAGAAACACGAAGTGCCCCATCAACCACTTAGTGGAGTGATGTGCGCAAGCTGTGTAGCCTCTCTGGGTCTCAAAGGCCTCGCTTACAAAGTGAGGAAGAAGATCCCTTCCTTGCCCGCCACAGGGCTGAAGCAGTCAGTTGCTAGAGGCCCTCCCCAGCTCTAATATGTAGGATTATACAAAACCAGAAAAGAGAAATGGGTTCTCTGA